CAGGTAAAAGGGAATCCCCCTCCATCTTCCATCTTTTAAATAATATATATGTTCAAATGATCGGGTTGTCAAAGCCATTGGAACGTTTTTCTTGCTACAGGGGGACAACCATCCGCTGGGCAGTCAGGCAAGCGGCACTCATTGAACTCTATTCCTGAGCAAACAGGAGCGCAGTCCCCGTGGGGGAGGGGCACTGGAGCAGGGTCCCTGCCCCTCTCTGTGCTCCTCGGCCAAGCTCCAGGGCATCTGCCGACCTTGCCCTGCGTGTTCCACGTGAAGAATTCCAGATTCTCAAATTACCTTTCCCTTCCCACTCACCCCCTCCCACCTTTCTGTACCCAGATCTGGAAGATCTCGCAAGCTAATTCACAGAAGCAATAAGCTGATAAGAGCTAAAGGGGTTGGTCAACGGATGTGTTTGTGTTGGAAACCAGATTCAATGCCATAAGCACAGAGAAGTAAATCTCCACAGGCGACATTTCAAGGACTACAGGGTCGGACGGCACACTGAGACAGTGGACACGGGAGGCTGTCAGGGGCTAGCGATGGTGACGTGGGTTTGGGGGGCTGCAGTCCTTGGAATGCACAGATACATAGAAGGTCAGTTTACTTGGCAGTCTACATAAAACTGGTGATCCAAAAAAAAAATAGAAATAAGCATTTGGGAAGTGCGGCTGAAGCTCGGGAAGGAGGGTTGGTCCCTCTTGGCAGGTCCGTTCCCCACACGTCTCCCCACTCGTCACGTCCCCGCTGAAGGAATGCACTTTGTTCTCTTCGGCAGCAAGTATGCACCACCCAGCCCCTCAGAGCTCCCTTCAGTCCAGGCCACACACACGGGGTCTTTACACACGTGTATCCAGCTCCATTCCACACATCCCAGAGCGGACAATGAGCTCAAGTGCTATGATGTATGCCAGGCACCACACACGTCTGATTCCTGTCCTCACGGAGCTTGCAGTTTAATGGGCAAGAAACACAGTGCAGCCCTGGCCCAGGGGCTCAGCTGTGTGGAGAGTCCTCCTGTACACCAAAAGGTTGTGGGTTTGATTTCCGGTCAAGGTACATACCTAGGTTGTGGGTTTGATCCCCAGTCAGGGTGTGTATGGGAGGCAACTGATCGATGTTTCTCGCTCCCCCCTTCTTCTCTCTCTAAAAATCAATTAAGAAAAAACAAACAAACATATCCTCAGCTGAGGATTAAAAATAAATAAATACAATGTGCTATGTCATGAAAAGAGCTACGGCAGGAGAAAAAAGTGAAGTCAAGGCCCATAGGAGACTCCTACCCAGACAAAATCAGGGAAGACTTCTGGAGGAGGTGACAACTCGGCTGGGGCTGAGGGCTGGGAAGGAGTTTTCCAAATAAAAGTGAGAATTGGGAGAGAAGAGGAGAGTTTAATCTTAACCACAACCCTGAAGAATGTGTGGCTGCTCTACCTCCCCAGTAAGATAACTGAGCCTATCGCGGTTGGAGGAGTTACCAAAAAACACCCAGTGGAAGCCCAGTGGGACCCGCTCCTGGGCTGCACTGGGCCTCCGGCTGCACCCCACCTCTTCACCTGTCCCAAGCTGTCAGAGAAGCACCTGGCAGGATGGAATTGTCTGGCCAGAAAGGAGTTCAGGACAAGGCTGACCCATGGGGATTTTACCACGGAGCAGCAGGGCCCCGACAGGACCCCCTCCAAATACCTCAGAGTCCTGAACATCCTAGCTCAGCAGCACACAGTAAGTAAGCTTATCCTTGGGAAAGTGCACAAAAGTGATTTTTAAACAAAACAGAATTCTATTTCGAGCAGACCTGTCATGGGTGCCTTGAAGGCAAAACCTTTCGTAAACCCTACGACGTGTCCTAACTCTTAAAAGGAGGCCCACAGGATGACTGGGAGCTGGCTTTTTGGATCCCAGCACGTCACAGAAGGTAGGGGACAGGCAGACACATGGAGGAAAACACTTCGATGGAGCAGTTTGCTCTGCTTCTGGCCCCATTCACAGGCTCAAAATACCCAGAGGAGCAAATTAAGTCACGTAAATGTCCATTACTAAGTATATTTATTTAAAAGCTGAATGGCAAAAGGCAAACGTTGTAGATATTAATGAAGGAATAAAACAAACATTGGACGTTTTTTCTTTACTCAAGGATATGAAGCTCCCAGATTTGAGGCCCACTTCTCACAGGTCACCTGAAGGCCGTCCCGGGCAACAGGAATCGTTCATGTTCCGTAAACAAGGCGGATGCAAGAGCTTACCCAGGACACGCAGCTGCAGACAAGTCTGTTTATTTCAAGTCTGTGTGCTGTGCAGGTAATGAAACATAGCACATCTAACGCTTCCCTTTTCACTCAGAGCCCAGAATGTGAAGGCTCACCTCCCTGCTGACTGGCATGGTATTTCTAGAAGCCTCATAGAAACCTCATCTATTCCCCATTCTCTTCCCTTCTTTGCACAGCAAAACTCACAAAGCCCTCTGTTAGGGGAGCCACTTCTGACCATTAGCAGGTCACCTGTGCCAGCCTGGCTCCAGACACCCCAGTTGCCTGCTCTCTCCCTTTCAACACCAAAGACACTGGATGCTCCTCGCACAGGTTTCTGTTCCCACAGGAGTGAGGACTATCTCAAGCTGCACCAACCATTAGTTCCAACTCCCCTACATCTGGAAAAAGCACCTGCTTTAGTTCTGCCAGTCCCCCTAGATCTCCGGTCTCTGTTCTTGAAATTGGTCTCATCTGCATTCAGCCCACATCAGCTCTCTCTCTCATCCCTCCCCCCACCACTACACCCCTCCCACCATCACCGCCAACAACAACACCAGGGTCAACTTTGAGATCAGTCAATGAGCTAAGAACCAGGCCTGTTATTTATTGCATTTAGAGGACTCACATTTGTATTATCAGATTCTGGGCTGGCAGCTGGCCAACGTATCTTCCTGTTTTCAGCCTCAACAATCTTCCCACTCCGATCCCCCCACACATCCGCACACTGGAGCCTTTAACCGAAGAGTAATAAGAACATTGTGCATCATCTTAGCTCTTACATTTTAACTTTAACTTTCTTCTCATTATCAATGAGGCCTAGATCGTGACTGGAAATAAATCAAGAGGAGGAAGGAAACTGGCACATTTTGGCCCTGTTGCTTTTCCCAGCCCAGGGTAGTGGTCAAGCGCACCAACTCTGGAGCCAGGCCGTCCAAGTTCATACCTCAAAATCGTACTTGCCAGCTCTGAGCCCTTGGCTGCTCCTCCACCTGGCCACCGCACCTCTAGGTCGTAATCTGTAAAATAAGGGAAAAAACAGTGTCAATCTTTCAGGCTTGTTCTGAGGATTACATGACTTAACATGTGTGAAGCATTTAGCACATTATAAGCCACAATAAACACTGGCTATTGTTACACCAGACGAGACAAGCTCTGGTCTCAGCCAGTACAGGCTGTTGCTTTCCAATTTTTTTTTTTTTAAATCAGAATTTAAACAGTTCTTTATTTTTCCTTGACACTGCTTTCAAGTTTTCTTTGAGTATAATGTTGCATGGGAAGCATGGAAAGTATTTAAAGGTTTATACTCCAGAAAAGTTATGTATGGATGAGAGACTTTTACAAAGTAAATATAAAGTTGGATGGGTCTGCCCTCTGTGGATGTGAAGAGACTAGAAAGCAGGCAGGTTCTCCTGAGATTTCTTTGTGAGAAGATGAATTGCCCAGCTAGATCATGAGGGCTAGTAATCTATAAATAAATCTCTTTCTTCAATTCATGTTGTTGGAAGACAGCCTGTTATATTGTGGCTTTTCTTAGAAATAATTGATGCTGCTACATCTCTAGAATCCTTCATCTTAAGAAGAAAAGGCTTCATCCCAATAAAAAAAAAAAAAAAGGCTTCATCCATAACTGGCCCCCATATTTACATTCAACATCCATCTAAAGGGTATTAAACATCCAGTCACAGGGAAACAATGGGTGTAAATGTAACCAGTGGTAAACGTACAATCAGTGGTTATACATGCAACCACCATGCCTGCTAGACAGTGAGTGCTCAGATTAAATGTTGAATGAAGTGTTGAGTGAATGAACAAACAAATGAATGAATGAGCAAAACAAATGAATGAATGAGTGAATGAAACAGTTCAACAGTGAAGCAATACAATGTTGTAGCAGAAAATGTGTTTCACTTGGGAATAATAAGAGATGATTTTCCAGATAACGCTTAACTTAAGAGTTATTATTTCCAGACATGAAGCTGGGAACCCCCACTTTCTCCCCCACCATAGTACAATTTTACAGACATTGTATAGCAGACATCTGAGCAAAAGGCACCCATGGCAACTATTGCACTGCAGAGTTGCATTTGCACCATTCCCAGTATTTGCTCACTTCAAGAAGTAGGACAGGCATGGTCTTGTTTAATCAGTAATTCTGTTTTTCTGGAATCGAGAAAATTAAACTCTGTGTTTGCTAAGCAAGCGAGTATCTAAAAGCAAAACTCTCGAACCTATTCTTGGGCATGATTTTCTTCTACCTTCAACCTATACTGTCGACCTTTGGTGTGTGGATAAGCTTCTCCACTTGTCGTGTCTGAGCCTGACCTGGAAAGCTCTCTGCCACTGCTGTTCTGGCTACTGGCCAGGCCAACAGTTAGCTCAACAAATATTTATTTTATTACCTATGACGGGTTTAGGCTCCCTCTTGGGTTTTTCATTGTAACCTCTCTGAGGAGCCTTGACTTTTATTTCTCCCCACCTAAAGACAAATATCAGGTCACTTGGTCAACCAAAGAACCCAACCCATTACTTCACGGGGTCAAGATGTTCAGTGATCAACTTTCTCTTGCTGGAGACCGCCCCCAAAACATTCTGGCCAAAATGGATACATACCAGACATTGATTTGTTTCATCTCAAAACTTGCCTCACACTGATTGTTACCTTTTTCTGATCTGAAAATTCCAATCTTTGGCATTGTTCGTAACTAGTATGATTCTTCCCTAGACTTTGGGTCCCCTTAACCTGCTTGACTCTTCTCAGCATATGTAGAGGTGCTAATTATCTTGCTTGCCCCTGGGGATTGAGAAAGAAAAGTAAATTGCTTCAGTTCAGAGTCTTCTTACAAAGACTGTCTACTCCTTTCTCTGTGTTTTTTTTTTTTTTTTCTATTTCTTTTACAAAAATTCCCCTTTTGCTCTTATCTGCCAATGGGAATTAAAGCCCATTACAGGCTGTGTATAGCTGGAGAAGAACCTGGTGACAGTTTTAATAGTGCTGCTACATCCATTATTATGGATGACACATAAAAAGATGGAGCAGTAACTTCTGAAATGCACATTAGAATCACCCAATAAAAAAGGAAGGGTCTACAATATTTGACGTTTTATAGCCAAATTATAATTAATTCATGATCAATAATTGAATACAGTTGACCCTTGAATAATGTGGGGTTTAAGAGGACCAATCTCCCATGCAGTCGAAAATCTGTTTATAACTTGACTCCCCAAAACTTAACAGTAGCCTACACTTGACCAGAAGCCTTACCAATAACCTAATAGTTGATTAACACATATTTTGTATGGTATATATATTATATTCTATATTCTTACAGTGAAGTAAACTAGAGGAAAAAATGTTATAAAGAACATTATAAGGAAGGAAAAACACATTTACAGTATTTGTTGGGCGGGGGGGAAGCCATGTATAAGTGGACCAGCACAGTTCAAACCTACAGTATTCAAGGGTCAACTGTAGTTTGCCAGTCTGTGTTCTGGATGGTATTTTTGCTGGTTTTGTTTGGTCTTATGTACGAATGTAGAATACCTCAAGAGGCAGAGAAATCTAAAAGAGGCTTTGGAACAAAAACAGGTGCTAATATCTGTCATTAATGTACATTAAAGAAAACTAAAATAAGATATATTTTCTTAAAATCTTAGATTTGGTACCTCTAAGTATGCCTGATATAATTTGGAAAGAAACTAGATTCAGCAATTAAAAAGGTGATGTTCTGTCCCTAAAACACAACTAATTGCAAATAAACTTTGCACTTTTTCCCTGTTTTCCACTATTTTCTTTCCAACTTGGAGAGCCCTTAGTATACCAGTGGCATTGTTGGAAGACCAATAACATGAAGATTCTATGAAGGAAAGATTGGCCATTCATTAATAATGGTAACTTGTTAAAAGCCAGTTGCTTACTTAAAACATTCCACCAGAATGCTATGGAACCCTCTTCTACATGCTACTCAAAGTTTAATACCTAACCACATCATGGTCCAGTGCCTTCAGTTCTGTCCTGCCCTGAAGCATGTACCCAAGCTTCTCATAAGTTAATGGGTCATTCATCGCACTGAATTTTTCTTAGCTCACCCACGCTCCTAGAATTCAGGATTTACTGCCAACACTTTCACTCTTCCACAAAATTAATATCGCACTAATAGGACCTGGTGTACTCTGAAAACATGCAGCAATCGTAATTCCACATTGAGACATTGAATCCAAAAAAATTAATCAAAAAGGGCAAAAGCTGGAGCAAAGGGGAGCATTGTGTGTAGTTCTAATTAATCTAGTTCGACTGTTTTCTACTTCTAAAAATTTAGACATAGTGACTCAAGTAAATAAAAGCATGAAAAGAGTAGGAAAGAAATTTTCTTTTAATGAAGACGTTTAATTCCTGCAGCTTTCCAAAAGCTATCCAATTTAATTCTCCCAACAAATCTGCAAGACAGGCATTACTATCCTCATTTTACAGATAACAAAATTGAAGCTCAGAGAAGTTATTTGCCTAATTTACATTTCCTAAATGAATGTATAAGCAGTAAAAGCTATATAGAGAATCAGGATTCAAATCCATGAACATCCGACCTAGAACCTTTCCACTAAATACATACTGCCTTTCTAAAATCGATTGATAGTGCCATTATTGGAACCATCAATCAATATTTTCCCTTTCATGTGAATAATAAAGTTAAACATACATTATTGACTGTGCTCATTCTTAAAGTAGAATTTTTCCAAGACCAATAGTTCCAAACCTGGCTAATCACCAGAATTACCTGACGAACATTTAAAGTAGTTCCTAAGTGCTACTGTAGAGCTACTGAGTCCGAATCTCAGAGAACACACCCAGGAATCTTCATGAGAACAAAGGCGATTTTCATAATCAGCCAGTTAGGAAACCACCGACTCATAACAGTAGTGACAAAAAAACAACACTAGTACTTGGGAGACACAATGCGTTATATTTTTTCAAAGTATTAAAACATCCTTTATTTCTTCTCGTCCTCATATATACCTGTTGGGAATGATGTGGGGTAGATATTTTATCCTCCCTAGATGCATGCAGAAACCGAGTTCAGTGAGGGAGAGAAATTTGGAAGTATCTTCTTCCACCTTTTTAGGTAAAAAGGGATCACCAAGGAAACCCAGACTGGGTGTGGATATACAGCATAAGGAATACAAATATCTTCTGGCCTGTGTGGCTCAGTGGTTGAGGGTTGACCCATGCACCAAGAGGTCGCCAGTTCAGTTTGCCCTGGCCTGTTTGGTTCAGTGGTTAGAGCGTCGGCCTGTGGACCAGAGAGTCCCGGGTTCGGTTCCTACTAAGGGCACGTACCTTGGTTGCAGTTTGCCCCTGGCCCCAGTTGGGGTTGTGTGGGTAGCAACCAGTCGATGTGTCTCCTTCACATAGGTGTTTCTCTCTCTCTCTCTTCTCTCCTCTCTCCCTCCCACTCTATCCGGTGATAAATGTAAAAATGTCCTCAGGGGAGGATAAAAAAAAAAGAGGTTGCCAGACTGGACACAGGTGCACATACAGACAATACCATTTAAAGAGAAATGCAAAGATTTGGATGATCCTATTAGCCAAAGAAATACTCAAGACTGCCAGCAAACCACCAGGATCAAGGGGAGAGGCATAGACAGAGTCTCCCTCACAGCCTTCAGAAGGAGCCAGCCCCGCTGACACCTTTCTCTCAGACTTCTGGTCTCCAGAACTCTCAAACAATACACTTCTATTGCTTAAACCAGCCAGTTTGAGGTACTTTGTTATGGTAGTCCTAGCAAACCAACAGAAAGGAAACACCTCCCCCCTGGATGATCAATTACTAGTTCACCTTTCCATTAGAGGAAAAATTAATAAATTAATTTACTTATTAATAGTCATAGCTCTTAAGAGATAGAAGTATTCCTAGAATTAATTAACTCAGAAATAACTTGCTCAATCTAAGTAATATTTGTGGTGTTTTAGAAAAAAAAAATACTTGCAAAAAGAAGAAAAAGGAAAAGTCGGGGGAAAGTATCCCCACACATCCTATCCTTAAGCTTTTTCTCTCTATTATTTAGTGGAGAAGCATCAATCTGTACGTCTCTAATTATGTTCAAGGGAGTTGTATAATATAGATTACCATGAACCAAAGCTTCATTCTACCTAATCCCAATGTTATAGCCTGGCACTCCCTGGCTTCAAGCATAAGGGGGCTTCACATTGTTCCCATCTCTACCCTGGGGTGTAGAAGTAGTTATTCTTTAATCATATGATAAACATCACAGTATGGGTCCCAAAGTCCATGTTGGTGTTTCAGAAAGAATTTTGCCTCAAAATCTAAACTATTTAATAAAATAAATTGAACCTAACATGTCTTGATTTTTTCAAACAAAAGTACTCCACAGCAAAAGCTTGAGGGGGTTGTTAGGTATGTGCTGAATTCTTCTCTCTCTCTCTCTCTCTCTCCCCTTCTCTCTCTCTCTCCCCTTCTGTCTCCTTCTCTCTCTCTCTCTCTCAGATAGTTCTGTGTGGCATTCTCCAACCACACACCCATTGTTTTGGTTGACAAATCCTTTAGATTGATTTCTATGCAAAAATAAGCATCCTTTCCAAAATTTAATAAAAAATGTAAAACCAGTGTTTTATGCATATTTTAATCATTCCCATTACATAACCTATTTTGGAGAGTGCATCTTATGGGTGATTTTTATGATGTAAAGATAAGGTATGTGACCAATTGAAAATATCTACAAGCATATGGAGATTATGTCATCATAACTAATATTCAGTCAATTATGTAACATTTTCAAGCATCTGAATGTTTGACAACATGCTGGCCAAATATACACATATATCTTCTCTTAATTTGAAATAGCATGGTCATAATATATTTCAAAGAAACCCAACATGAATTTCTAAATCAAAAATACAGACCACTCAATTCACTGTTTGAATGGTGGTGCTGCAGTGGGGTTGGGTTGCATAGGAGCCTCAAAGCTCGGCTTGAAGTCTGAAGCCACCCCATAACATCAACCCAGAGTGCACTGATGGTATTTCATGCTTTACATGTACCTCTGTAATAACAGATCAAGTCTAAATTAGAACGTGTAAAGGAAAAAAACCAAAGGAATAATTTGGAATGATGCCACAGATTCAACACGCAGTCCACTGAACAAAGTAAAATTTTCCCATGGAGGAACATAGGCCATGTGTATACAAGAGCAGTTAGATCAAACAGAAGTACATGTTTGGGTTCTGGCTGATTCCCTGCTGCTTATCTACAAAGCCACAGGATGGCCACAAATTCCTGGTGTGCAACTACTGTCCAAATGGTTTTATGGGGGGAAAATGGAGCCAAATGCTTTGGTTCCAGTCTAATTTCCTGTGATCTGGGCATGTTCATGCTGTAGGGAAGCCCATGCTCATGCTTGCCACAGTGTACACATGATAGTTCATCGTCTTACTCTCTTTTCAGCCTTCACTCCCACACTGACAATAGGCCCTTCCTTCCTCCAACCCATGTTCTTTTAAAAATAAATCAAAACAACCCAGCCGGTATGGCTTAGTGGCTGAGCATCGACCTATAGACCTAGAGGTCACCAGTTCAATTCCTAGTCAGGGCACAAACCCAAGTTGTGGGCCAAATCCCCAGTGTGGGGCATGTAGGAGATGGCCAATCGATGATCTCTTTCACTGATGTTTCTGTCTCTCTCCTTCTCCCTTCCTTTCTTTCTAAAATCAATAAAGAAAAAAAAATGTTTAATAAATATAAATCAAAACAAATATTTTCTTGGGATCTACCAGGAAGCAGGAACCATTCTATGTCCTGGAGTCACAAATGGGATAGAAACAAAAGGGTTGCTTTTCCATGGAGCTTACATTCTCATGAAGAAATACTGTCACTAGACAAGTAAATATATTCTGTGTGTGGCAGAGACGGCCTTCTGTCCACCCGCATTCTCAGAGTTGAGTTTCACTGGCAGGCCGTGGCCCAAACAGGGACTACATTTCCTCGCCTCCCTCGCATTCAGCTGCATCCACATGACTAACTCTTGCCAATGTGATGTGAGCAGAAGTGGTAATGCTCATCACTTCCAGAAAGAACCTGGTGTGCCTTCTCCACTTATTATTCTTCCTATGGAATCTGCTGGATAGACAAGACTCTGAGTCCCTGAAGGCAGAGCCTCAGAATGGAAGGATCTCGATAACCTGAACCCAGGTGAAGAAAAGACACCCTCCAACCAGGAACAGTAGCATTGAACTGTTAAGGAAATTTGTGACATACCTAAAATGTGTTAAACTACAGAAACAATGGGACTAATATTTGCAGGTCCTATCATTAACCTAACTAATACAGTATGTCAGGTGGCCATTGCACCCTTGAGAAAAATAATGTTTAGATGGGGAATAAGGGATACAGCAGGTAAAAGTTGCTAATCTAAACAGAGTGGTCAAGGAAGACTTTACTGAGAAGGTGACATGAGCAGAAACTGGAAGACAGTGAAGCTTTTGAGAAAAGCTTTGGAGAAAGAAGGAACAGTGAGTACAAGGGTTCTGAGAAGGGAGCCCACCTGCCATGTCCAAGGCACATCAAGGAGGCCAGGAGGCCTGAGTGAGGATACAATAGGGTGACTGATAGGGCTTGAGGTCAGAGAGAAAACAGAGGACCGTATCATATTGGGATTTAAAGGCCATTATAAAATTTTTGGGTCTGGTTCTAAATGAGCTGCAATATTATTCAGGGATTTTGAACAGAGGAGTGACAAGATAGTATTTACATTGTAAGAGGATCACTTTGGAGTTGAGTTAAAATTATGCTATGCAGGGTTGGAGAGAGCAAAAGTAGAAGCAGTTAGGAGGCTGTTGAAAAACTCCAGGTGAGGTTGTTGAAAAACTCCAGGTGAGAGACACTGGTCACCTAGTCCAGAGTCATGATAGTACAGGTAACAATAAATGGTTAAATCTTGTTTATTTATTGAGGATATAACTCAGAGGAATTAGTAATAGGTTAGATACAAAGTATGGGGGCGGGGGAGTGAGGGACAGACTTGGAATAACGTTTCTAAATTTCAGGTACCTCTTGGTGATCCAAATGAAAGCATCAGTTAGACAGATTTTTTTTTTTAATATTTATTGTTGAATGTATTATAGATGTTCCTCATTTTTCCCCCATTGACCCCCTCCTCCTCATTCCTGCCCCCCTTCCCGCCTTTTCCCACACTATTGTCTGTGTCCAATGGTTATGCATATAAGTTCTTTGGTTTATTTCTTCCCACCCCCAAACCCTTTCCCTTTGAGGTTTGTCAGTCTAGCAATGAATTTGTACTTCTTAATCCCTTTACCTTTTTCACCCATTCCCCCAACCCCCCTCCCATCTGGCAACCAACAAAATGTTCTCTGTATCTATGAGACTGTTTCTGTTCTGCCTGCTCATTTTGTTTGTAGATTCCATTGTCAATAGATATGTATTCATTGCCATTTTGTTTGTTCATATATTTTATCTTTTTCTTCAAAAAGACCATTCATTATTTCATATAATAACGGTTTGGTGGTGATGAACTCCTTTAAATTTTTTTGTCTGGAAAACTCTTTGTATGACCATCGATTCCAAACGACAGCTTTGCAGGATAAAGTAACCTTGGTTGAAGGTTCTTGCTTTTCATCACTCTGAATGTTTCTTTCCACTCCCTCTGTCCTGCAAAGTTTCTTTTGAGAAATCAGCTGACAGCCTTATGGGAACTCCCTTGTAGGTAACTAACTGCTTTTCTCTTGCTGCTTTTAAGATTCTCTCTTTGTCTTGAACTTTTTGCATTTTGATGATGATGTGTCTTGGTGTGAGCCTCTTGGGGTTCATCTTCTTTGAGACTCTCTGTGCTTCCTGGACTTGTATGTCTGTTTCCTTCACCAAGTTAGAAAAGTTTTCTGCCATTATTGTTTCAAACAAGTTTTCAATTTCTTGTTCTCTCTCTTCTCCTTCTGGCACCCCCAAGATGCGAATGTTGGCACGCTTGAAGTTGTCCCAGAGGCTCCTTACACTTTCCTCAATTTTTGGATTCTTTTTTCTTTTTGCTGTTCTGATGGGGCGTTTTTTGCTTCCTTATATTCTAAATCGATGGTTTGCTTCTTGGATTTACATACTCTAGTATTGAAGCTGTGCAAATTATTCTTTATTTCAGTTAATGCTTCCTTCATTTCTGACTGTGCATCCATTAATTCTGACTGGTACTTTTTTATGCTCTTGAGGCCCTCACTAAGTTCACTGAGGTCCTCACTAAGTTCATTGAGCATCCTTTTAAACAGCATTTTGAACTCAGCATCTGTTAGGTTGCTTATCTCCATTTCGCTTAGTTCTTTTCTTGGGGTTTTGTTCTGTTCTTTCATTTGGGACCTGTTTCTTTGTCTCCTCATTTTGGCTGCCTCCCTGTGTTTGTTTCAGTGTATTACTTAACGAGAGGTATGGGGCTATCTGACACCAGATGCTTCTTGTTTGAAAGAATTTAGGACAACCTGAAGCAGGATCCAAGACAGGCCAATCCTATGGTTAAGCAACTGGCAACAGCTTGGGTGGGCCTGAAAGTTGGGTGGGGCGGGGCCTCAGGGAGTCAGCAGGGCGGGGCTACCAGTGTGAGCCAGGTTGCTGGAGTCCCAGATATGGCTTCTGTCTGCCGCCCCAGGGAAGGGCTCACCAAAGGAACAAAGGCCTCTGACAGCACGTTTGTCCCCGAGAAAGCCCCCTCTCCAGCCCTCGCTCCAGTGCCAAACAGCTCAGTTCTTCCCTGTATGTCTCTGGTGCCCCTTGAGCTGCCTCCCCTCCAAGCTTAGAGGGAGAGAGTCCGGTAAGTCTGTGTGCAGGCCCTTTAAGGAGCTGCCTGGGGCTCCAGCTGCCTCAGCCTCCCTGAGCCTCAGTTCCCACTGGTTTTTCCAGCCAGAAGTTATGGGGATTCTCTTCCTGGCACTGGAACCCTGAGCGGGGTGTCTGGTGTGGGACGGGGACCCCTCAGTCCTCAGGGAGGACCTTCCCAGCCGCGGGAGCCTCCTGATTTTTATCCACCACACGTGGGTGTGGGACCAGCCCCACCACCCCCGCCCCTCCTACCAGTCTCAGTGTGGCTGCTGCTTTAATTTCGTAGTTGTAGGACTTCCATTCAGCTTGATGTCAGGCAGTTCTGAATGATGGTTGTTCTGTAGTTTAGTTGTAACTTTGATGTGGTTGTGGGAGGATGTGATACCACATTTACCTACCCGCCATCTTGACCAGAAGTCCCAGTTAGACAGATTTTTGAGCCCAGAGTTCAGTGGAGAGGTTCAGGCTAAGAGAAAAAAAAAAGAACAGAAGTCATCAGTGTATTATGGTATTTAAATCTATGAGACTAGATAACCATCTAAGAAATGAATGCAAATAGAGAAAAGAAAAGGCCCAGGGCCCTCCATCATGTGGAGGTTGGTGGAAAGAAGATGGAACAAAAGAGAGGTGTGGGGAGCATCTCACACACTAAAAGAAAAACACCAGGAAAAATTGAGTCTCAGAAGGAAATAAAGTGTTACAGGAAGAGATATAAACAATTATATCAAATATTGCTGAGAGTTCAATAAAATGAAGACTGAATCTTCATATGGGATTTAACAACATGCAGATTTTGGTTGGTGATGATAGAAGCAATTTCAGGGATGTGATTGGGTTTCCGAGAGAATAGAAATAAAAGAAACTAGAATAGACAAATAAAGCTAAACCTTTAGTAAAATTTTTTTGTCAAGGGGAGCAGAGTAATGGGGAAGTTTGTAGAGATGTGGGATCAAGAGAGAGTTGATTTTTTTTTTCCAAGATGGGAGAGAGTACAATATATTCCATGTTGATGGATATGATTCAATAGAGAGGGGGAAGTTAATAATAAAGTAAAGGAAGAGAATTGCTGGATCCATATCCTTGATGGGGGTGGGATTTTGACAGGAGCAGGGTTGACAGTTTATCCACAGTAGTAAGAAGGAAGTCTATGCACTCAGATGCCAGCTTAGGTAGATATGATGGGGGAGCACGTGGAAGTCTCTTCTGATTGCTTCTATTTTCCCATTGAAACAAGAGGCTAGTCATCAACTAAACGTGGGCATGAAGGTATGCTATTTTGAGGAGATAGTAGAAGGTGTAAAATGATCTTTTACAAGTGTGAGGGAGTGAATAAATTAGAAAATAGTAGTCGAACAGCCTGGCTACACCGAGATCTCCCTTGAGTTTGGTGGCCCCTTTTGACACCATAGCCTATGGACATGAGTTTTTCTCCAGCCAAGGGCAGCTGCTCAAGGCAGTATTGGGCAAACCAAGGTTGGGGTTATTGGGTCTTCAAGACAAAGTTAGAGAAGGGCAGGGGAATTGAGGGTGTATAACGAAGAAATGATGTTAATGATGGTATGTGGGATTTAGTTTAGGCAATTGAGGACAGTAGGGGAGTGAGGCTCAGAGAAAAGCTGGGTTGATTGATGGATTCCTGGCCCCAGTGGGATCAAAGATATTGAAGGTGTGTATTAGAGGCAGCAATCTGGAAGCATTTGATCTAGGCTGGAGGCAGTGTGATGCCTGGCAATGAGGCAGGCATATCAGACTGCCTACCATGCCCAGAAGCTCAGGGCATTTCTAACTACCCTTAAATTTGCTCATACTATTCCTTCTTGTTGGAATAATTTTGAATCTCCTCTCTGGCTCTTACTCATTCTTCAGGGCCCAGATCAATTGCTACCTCCTGGTTCAGCTTCTCTGATCCTCCAAGTTAAAATTAATTGCCTCAACTGCTGTGCTCACATCATGTCTTTTACTCACCTTTCATATGAAGCTCACACATTATATCATCATTGTCTGTTTTCAAGTCTGCCTCCCCACAGCTTGTGACTTCGAATAGGACGAGATGATATTCTGCTCACCACCACATTCCCAGTTTATGGCTAAGAGGCTGCAGGCACTCTCAGCCCACGAGCCCACTCTAATCCATTTCCCAGACTCCAGTCAAAGTGGTTTCCTTAGAGTGTAAATCAGATCGTGTTATCCCCAGGCTTAGAACCCTTAATAGACTTTCCAATTGCTCTTAAGATAAAGACTAATTCTTTCCATGACATGCAGGGCCCTGCAGGATTGAGTTTAAGTTTACTCTCTAACTTCATTGCTCACCAGTCTCTCCCTCTGCCCTTTACACCCTCCGCCCTTTACCGTCCGGCTGCCCTGGCCCCTGAGAACTTGCCAAGAGCCATGCTTCTCTCTGCAGTCGGGGTCCTCTCTTGTCCTTCCCCCCACTCTGGCACTCTTCTTCCCTCCAAAGATGAGTTCGAATATACCCCCCGCCCCGAGGATGCCTTCCCCAACCCCCAGTTAGATGGGTAGGACATCACACGCTTTCAAAACACCCTGTGCTTTCCTCGCAGCACTTGGTAGTATTCTTAGTGACAAAGATTAGTGTTTGCTCCCATGCTAGCCCGGGAGGCCCGTGAAGACAGTGGCCACATGGCTTTGCACTTGAGTGTATTTGCAGCACCTATCCCAGTACCTGACTCATAAAAGCACTTCATAAATATTTCTTCACTGAATGCATTTATGAAATTAGTAAATCAATGGTTCTAGAGTTTTACTTAATATTCTATAAAATATAACCAATTTGGTTCTCCTTATATTTCCTGCACCATAAGAAAATAATCAAACACACACACACACACAGGTGCACTCACACACACTCAAAACCAGCTTTAATGAGTTTTCACACAGACCTTTAAAATATATAACCAGGCACGCCAGATTGTGGTTTATAACTTATAAACTATTCCTAATTATGAAAATGAAGATGATATATATGTAGCTATCCCAAGGGGTATTCCCTCTCGAATATCGGTTATCTGGAAATCTTGCTGCACTGAATATTTCAGAGTGTACCTTGAGGCTGGAATCAATGCTCGCTGGCGTTCTCCTGCATGCATGCAGATAGCCAACACAATTCAGGGCAGGCATGTGCATGTGTCTGTAGATTCAATCAAGAGTCATTCCCTAGGCCTATCTCTTAAAGTGGAAAGCGGGCTCTAGTTGTCTACTGTCCATATCGTAATGGAATTTTTCAGACTATTAATGTGGTAAGAAAAAACATATAGTCTCTTTAGGGAAAACACCCATTTGTTCACTTTTTTTCACACATTAGAAATATAAATAATAAGCATATATAAATGTGTAAAATAAATAAAATAATAGACATAAGTAACAGAATCAGTTTTTTTTTTCCCGTTGGTTTTCCATTAAGAAAATAAATAGGAATGTAAGAATTCCTTATATTTTTTCTTTTTATTAAAAAAAAAAAAAAAAGATTTCCTAGAACCTACTTAGGAGAAGTATTTGAACTCTTATTATAGAAAGTTTTAAACAAAACTAAAGGTAGTGTAATGATCCCCTTGTCCCTACCACCAAGCTCTAATAGTTGTCAGTATTCTTTCCTCTGAAGAAATATAAGGAGAAATATAGGTCAAATTCAAGTTGTTGTTCAGCATTAGTTGTCCAAAACAATATCCTCACCATTCTTCTTCATCTCCACCACGAGGCCTTCTCTGACCCAACCAAAGGTTAACTGCTTTTTAACCACAGCAAACAGTGATCTCAAGAGGATCCCCTAGTTAGAATCGCCAAGATAACCCTACTCTATAGCACAAGACTCATATTAGAAGCACCTTGAGATGATTGATATGAATATAGTCAAGATCAATTTTTGAAATTGATGTGCTGACACAGTCTGACACAGACATGCTCATGATTCATAATCTCTCTTTCTGCACAGGCTGCTTTAGAAATCCACACAAAATGCAGGTCAGTCATGGGTGTTAAAATGTACAATTATACATCCTTTTTTTATGATGCAGGGTTTGAACTTAAGTTGGAAATTACTTGTTTTTATAGTCAAGGAGCAGTCTCATAATTTTTATACTTTGTCTTATATTTTAGAAATGACTCTGAACCTGGCTAGTACCCTGATTTTTCAATAACTTTTGGCCAAGCACGTGAAAAATCTGTCTTCACCAAAGAAGACAGAAATGAATATTTGAATCATTCAGTATTAAAGTAACCCAGGGAGTACATAGCTTTTGTGCATTGTTCCCAGGATGAAGAGAGGCCATTGGGCCTCATCGTGAACTTGGTCTTGATAAATTTGGCCCTGCTCCGACCTTGGAGTCCCCAGTCACCAACAGCTGGGCTCGTGCCCTATGCTCAGTGTCCTAATGACTGGACTCGCTAGCAGGCACCCAGTCTCTCAGCCACTGAAGACCCTACACTCTCCCAACCTTGAACGTCTTTTGGTTAAACACATCTGCAGAGATGACCTGTGCTGATTCCCACTTAGGCAAACCTAGATTTCAGGTTGTTATAGTCACTTTGCTTAAGGTACTCATGCCTTTACCCATTAAAGTACTGATTTGGTATTCATTTCCTAGAGTGAAAATGTTCTTGTTTAAATCCTTACTACTACACACAGCTGAGCCTTCATCACCCCGAAATTTCCCTGGATTGTGCACATATGGCCCATCCCACAAACACCTGGTCTTGGATAGCATGAGGCTTAGAAAGTCCTGGGTCCTAGTGACGGTCCTTCCAACCTCTGCTCTTTTATTCATTCAATTAATGGTAATAAATAAGTTCAAGGCACTCGATGTTAGCTGTTCTCCACTTGACTTTCCATCAGTGACGTGGCCGCTTTCCCATGGATCTTTTCTTGACATCTAGCTCCAAGCATTCTTTGTATGGCCTTCTGAGTGAAGCCTGGGTAACACTGCTTTTTCTACAAGGTACCTCTCGAATAACTGGCTGTTTCTATTTCTTCACATTCCTAACTCATCAGGTATGAAACTCAAGAAATGACACCTGAAATGGCAAGAGTTTCCTCTAAGCGACCCCCAGGAGAATGTCATAACTTCCCACCCCAACTCTACAATGTCTCCTCTCAGGGGTTCAAATCCTTGCTCAGTCCTCATGAGCGCAGACACATCCTCCGTCTCTTTGGACCTCAGGAAGCAAACACGGGAAGAGTGTGATGAATGAGACAGCGCAGCAGATCACCCACCATGCTTCAGAGGCACGAAAGCTGTCTTTGCGGCAATGACCCACATCCTACTGGGGCTGGGGCACCAACAAAAACATCCAGGGGGCTTCTGAGAGCACCCTTCCTTATCTTATTCCCAAGACTGTGAGAGACACACTGACCAAGCTGAACTTTGCATCTGGAGTGTGAGCTGAAGACCATCCCCAAAACCCTGTCTCCTATTCCAGGCTCTGACTCTCTTCCAATCAAAGCAGCAATTGTCCTAAACCCTTCACACAGTCCCTGTCAAGGGAGAGAACTGGGCAACAAGACAGGCTGCTGGTTCCCCGGAGCTCCTGGGCTCTAGCTGGAACAACATCACCGTAAGAGCACTCTCTATCCAGCTCACACACTTCGAAAAGCGTTGCCAAGTACATACGGATTTCTTGGATCATTTTCAATTACTGAGGGAAGGTACCAATTGTTAAAGAAAACTAAAAAATACCCACAATGACTGTGAAATCTTTTCATTCTCCACTCTTTAGGTAATTTGTCCTGATTGCAACTATTTCCAAAGGCAAGATTACACACCAGGGAAGCAAAAAGATAAAAAGGGAAATCTGTTCCCTGCTGAGGCCTGATCAGAGCTCAACTTGTGTTTGGAAGCAAAAGGTAGATTTTTTTCAGCCCTAATGAAAGCTTGTTAGGTATGAACACTGGGGCTGAACTGATCTAGTGAGAGGACTTGCTGGGTCACTGCGAGGTCATTAGGGGGTCATTAGTGTATCAGAGATCATTACCATTCTTGTCAGGATTCCTCTTAAAGGAAGGGAACTTAAATATTTACTAAAAGCTGATCTCACTGGGGTATATAAAAAAAGTAGAAGAACAAAATTGAAGTCTGTCATCTTTTTTCAGATAGGAATATATATCTATCAAAATTTATAAGATATTGACCGAAACATTTAGGTTTTCAGACCTTGTTTCTTTTTGTCCTATTTTGCCAATTCTCTTTAACAGTCAGCAATTTGCTTATCTTACCGAGGTAATGTTTTAACAGTGATATGTAGGTTAAGGGTGTGCTATTTTGTTTACAAAGGATACATTTTTGTTACAATTACTGTAAGAAGCAGCAGACAAATGACCTTCAGGAAAAGCAGTGAGCCCTTCTGTGTGTTAGAATAATCCAGGCTCCCCTGAGACCTGGAGCTGGGTACTTCCTCTGGGTTGGGGGAAGGGAAGGGATGGACAGTTATATCATTGGATCCACCACCATATTCTTACCTTGGAGTTTAATTTCCATCTACATGGGAACATCTGAAGCAGAGAGAAAAGCGCTGTGCTCCGGACCTCTTTTACAGAGCAGGCAAGAAAAACAGCTCAAACACAGTAGCGAGGTGTCCCGCGTCAGTCCTCACTCGGCGATCCTGTAGGTTTTAACAGGGCTTCGAACTCGTGTGCGGTATCCAATAGCCTGCAGAAGAAAACGCAGTGCAGAGCTAAGCTGGGCACAGGCACCCTGTCCTAGAACCAGAGCCTCTGAAAAGGAGTGATAATGGGAAAAATGATTCCCAACCCCCTTGAGAAGCTTATGCTCGGATATTATATGTGGAAAGTAAAAGATAGAACTGCACAACCTCTAAGATCCTTCTAGCTTTACAATTCTCTAAGGACATGAAGAGACTCAACATGAGAAACCATGTTCAGGCCCAAGAAGGGCACCGATGTACACAGGTGTCCATTGTTTATTTCTCTCTTGCCCCGTATATTTTACAGAGTTTAAGTGTCTGAATGAGATGTAGTTAAATAAAAACAGATATGTTTGTAAAAGATTATGTCTACATAAGAGGCATCTCTAAGGTTTGAGTTTTAAAAATAAAAGAACTTTTAGAAATCCAGGATTTCTTTTTTACAAATGAGGTCTCCCCCAGACTCAGAGGTCGCAAGGCCGGCGCTCGTGCCTATGTGCCAGGGGCCTCCTGGTTGACAAGTCACATTTGCCTAATGAGGAAACAGTGTCATCTAGTGGCAATTTATCAGTTTCCTAGATGAGCTATGATTCAGCTCCACACACAGGGAGATGAAAAACATCTCACGTGCCATCTCTGCTGCTCCTGAGTGCCCAAAACGACATTTCGGCACCATTTTTGTTGCGCCAGGTTTCCCAAAGCTCAAGCAAGTCCCAGTGGGATACCCTCCAACAACTCTTTTCCCATTAACATTTCTAGTCTCTTCTCGTGCCAGACTTTCAACACAGGATCAGGAATCATCTGCCTTCAAGCCTCGTACCCATCATGCTGTTGCCCTTTGATGCTTCTTGATTCGAATATTCAGCAAGATGACACTCTTAGCCAGGATTTCAGGCCTTTTGCCAATTGATGTGTTTAATCAAAGAAAGTTCCTCCTTTCTGATGAAGATCCAGATGATGCTTTTTATTTAGTCATGCTGATATAACATTTGCCTTTTTCCTCCTACCAACAAATCAGGACACTTTTGTTGCCTTTCAAGTAATTTTGAGTATTGCCCAAGACAGTTCTGTAAACAAAGGTGTGGACTAGTTTCAGACAAGTACATCTGTTTGTTCAACTTTCATGTTCTCAGACATTTACCAGTCTTTTACTATGTTCCTAATATGTCCCCTGCCCTGGGGAACCTAACTTTGGAGACAGAAAACAAAATACATCAACAAATAATTGTCCTACATGACAAATGCTCTATCACCAGTAACTCAAAGGGAAGGAGAAACATTCTGCTGAGCTTAGAAGAGCTGCACAAAAGAGAAACACTGGACTTGAGCTTTAAAGGTAGGTCGGCTTTGGGTTTCTGAAGGAGGGGAGGGAATGCATGTTAGGCAGGCAGAACAGCAACAGCAAAAGTCCAGAGTCAGGAAAGTATATACTATGACAAAGCAAATAATCTACTGTATTCACACAAATAAAGAAGCAGCCCAAGAAGAGAAATGAGAATTGATGTGGAAAGACAGTTTGAAATTAAAATTCAAAGATGCTTGGATGCCAACCTAGAGAACTTGGCCTTTATATTCAATGATATACCATCTTATTATAAACCAAAACAAAAAAATTACCAGTCCAGCCACTGTGGCTCAGTGGTTGAGCACCAATCCATGCACGAAGAGGTCGCCAGTTCGAGTGCCGGTTAGGACACATGCCCCGGTTGTGGCCCAATCTCCAATGGGGGGCATGCTAGAGGCAACCAATCGATGTTCTCTCTCATCAATGTTTCTCTCTCTCTCTCTCTCTGTCTGTCTCTCTCTCTCTCTCATTTTTCTCTCTCTGTAAAATCAATAAAAAAAAATTTTTTTTTTTAATAATAAAATAAAATAACCAGACTTACACAGCTTCTCCAAATGGCATCCTCATTAAACAGCTGGTAGAACTTAGACCCTGAACATGAATTATTCGTCAATGTTGGGGCAAGAACTCACACCTGATGGCTCCCAATCCATTTCTTAGTAGTAAAAAGCTAGTGACTTTTGTTGTTGTTACTCCTCACTTGAGGATATTTTTTCTATTGATTTTTAGAGACAGCGGAAGGGAGGAAGGGAAGGGGACAGGGAGCGAGAGAGAGAGAAACTTCGATGTGAGGGAAACACATCAAGTGGTTGCCTCGTTATTCACAGATGACATGATACTATACCCTAAAGCCTCCATCAAAAATCTACTAGATTTAATAACTGAATTTGGCAAGGATACAAAATTAATGTCAAGAGATAGACAACACTCTTAAACACCAACAATGAACTCACAGAAAGAAAAACTAAAAAAACAATCCCATTTACCATTGCAGCAAAAAAATTAAGATACCTAGGAACAAACTTAACCAAAGAAGTAAAGGACCTATTCACAGAAAACTACAGTTCATCAAAAAAAGAAATAGAAGAAGATATACAAAAGTGTAAGCTTATAGCTTGCTCGTGGATTGGAAGAATTAACACCATTAAAATGTCATACTACTCCAAGAAATCTATAGATTCAATGCAATCCCCATCAAAATACCAATGACATATTTCACAAACTAGAACAAATACTCCAAAAGTTTATATGGAACCAAAAAAGACCCCAAATAGCCACAGCAATCTTGACAAAGAAGAACAAAGTATGAGGAATCACAAGATGAAATATCAAGTTATACCACAAAGCCATGTAATCAAAACAGCCTGATACTGGCATAAGAACAGGCATATAGATCAATGTAACAGAACAGAGAACCCAGAAATGGACCCAAAGCAATATGCTCAATTAATATTTGACAAAGGTGGCAAGAGCATACAGTGGAGCAAAGGCAGCCTCTTCAATAAATGGTGTTGGGAAAATTGGACAGCTACATGCAAAAAAAAAAAAAAAAGAAACTAGACCATCAACTTACACCATACACAAGAATAAACTCAAAATGGATAAAAGACTTAAATGTGACTTGTGAATCCATAAAAATCCTAGAAGAAAATGTAGAACAAAATTTCAGACATCACATGCAGCAGAATTTTCAGATACAACACCTAAGGCAAGAGAAACAATGTAAAAAATGAACACATGGGACTACATCAAACTAAAAAGTTTCTGCACAGCAAAAGAAACAAGCATCAAAAGGGAAAGAGAACCCACTATACAGGAGAGCATAATTGCCAATGATAGATCAGAATAGGGGTTAATTTCCAAAATATATAGAGTACTCATACAAGTCAACAAAAGGAAGACAAGGAATCCAATTTAAAAATTGGCAGAGGACCTAAATAGACACCTCTCCAAACAGGACATACAAATGGCCAAGAAACATATGAAAAAATGCTCAACATCACTGATCATCAGAAAGATGCAAATTAAAACAACTATAAGGTATCATCTCACACCTACCAGACAGGCTGCCATTAACAAATCATCAACCAGTGCTGGCGAGGGTGTAAAGAAAAGGGGACTCTAGTACACTGCTGGTGGGAATGCAGACTGGTGCAGCCACTATGGAAAACGCTATGGTGTTACCTCAAAAAATTAAAAATTAATCTCCCATTTGACCCAGTGATCCCACTTCTAGGAATATACCCTAAGAAGCCTGAAACACCAATCAGAAAGAATATATGTACCCCAATGTTCATATCAGCACTATTTACAATCGCTAAGATCTGGAAACAGCCCAAGTGTCCATCAATAGATGAATGGATAAAACAGCAGTGGTACATATACACAATGGAATAAATACTATGCAGCTGTAAGAAAGAAAGATCTATCATCCTTTGAGATGACATGAAGGGACCTGGAGAGTATTATCCTAAGTGAAACAAGCCAATCAGAGAAAGACAAATATCACATGATCTCACTTATTTGTGGAACATAATGAACAAAATAGACCCAAAGACATAGAAGTATGGTACAGACTGACAAACCACAGAAGAGGGGGACAGGAAGGGGAGAAGAGATAAACCACAGAACTTATATTCATGTATGCAAATCCATTGACATAGTCAACAATGCTGGGGCGGGGGGTGTTGGGAGGATGGAATATATATATATTCATTATATTAAAAAGAAAGAAAGAAAAGAAAAGAAAGTCTTCCATTGGCTTTATGAAAACATCACTCCCATTGTTCTCAGAGGAAAAGATAGTATACTAGTAAGTGTCATTAAAAGACAATCTGGCAGCCAATTCTAACTTGCTCATCAAAGAGGCCAATGGTTCTTTCCAAGAACTTTCTGTGTGTAACCTCGGGCCAGTGTTTTCTATGTCTGCTTTACTTATACAGGTAGAGAATCTACCTTCAACATCTTGACTCAAAAGACAACCCTGCCACTCCTGCTGCTATTTCTCTTATTAATTAAGTTAATTCGAGTGTCAGGTCTTATAACGCTCTATTCCACTTTCCATGTGTTTGCAGTCACTGCCAATTCTCTCCAAATGAATGCTAGACAGTTCACGTGGAGCTAAAAGCTCAAATCATTTAATGTAGTGCTAATACTGTTACCATACTATTTCATGTATTTGATGCTGAGGCTGACATTCCATTCATCAAGCAAACACCCAGGGGGATAGGGAACGAAATGGACTGCCATTCCTCCGAAGCTGCCAGACCACAGAGAGCAACCCGACTCACATAGCTTCTCCTTGGCCCCGCTTGAGCGTCAGCTCGTAGCTTCTGCCCAGAAAAGTGGTTGCTGTGCAGACCACAGGGAGGTGGGGCTGACCTGTGGCCAGGCTGCGTCCCCTGTTTCCCACTCTCATAGAGCCAGCTCTCCTGGCGGCCTGCCCTCTCCAGGGCTGCCTCAGAGACCCGGAGCTCTCGGAA